CAAGAGGACACCTCTGTCCACTGCAGCCTCCGGGGGACACTGGCCACCAAGCAACATTGGAAACACAGCTGCACAGTGGTGGGTGGGCCCCTGGTTGCTGTGTGTGGAGGGGGAGGCCGGAGAGAGGAGGCAGCTGTGTCCTGGTGAATCTCAGGTTTGTTTTCTAGCCTGGGGGCAGGGCCGCGAGTGGGGCCAAGCACTCCCTTTCTCACCCACTCTGCACACTACCAGCTCTGACTTTGCTCCGTGCCTCCTCTGGGTTGGCCAAGTTTTGCAATCCAAGTCGTGCCAGGACCCAGCCCTGCCCTTCCCCGGGGCCTGATGTGCTATGGCCTGCCTGCCCGGGGCGCCTTCCTCTCCTGCCTGTGGGTCCCACGCCTGGGGACTGAGTGAATGGTGGGCCGGGGCTGTGTTCAGCCCACTGGGCAATGCAACCCCGAGTTGGCCGAGTGACAGCTGGTTGGGCTTCCAGGACGGATGTGAGGACAGACCATTGTGGTGTGGGAGATGACCTTATGGGCACAGGAATTAACATTAAACAAAGCCTTGTCACCTATTTGGCAGGTATCCTTTTTTTTTCTTTTTAAGATTTATTTATTTCTGGAGAGAGAGTGTGAGCAAGGGAAGGGGCAGAGGGAGAGGGAGAAGGTCCCAGAGCAGACTCCCTGCTGAGTGGAGCCCAATGCAGGGCCTGATCCCAGGACCCCAAGATCACGACTGGAGCTGAAATCAAGAGTCCGTGGCTTAACCAACTGAGCCACCCAGGCACCCTGGCCTGTCATCTAAGATGACCCCCACAGAGCCCCTCCCTTGACAGAAGGCTGAGGCCAGTGACTTGTCTCTCTCTGATAGGACACAGCAAGAGTGACAGGACTGGGTGAGATAGGACAGTGACCTCTACCTTGTTAGTCTTCTCTCTCTGACTTTTCTTTCTTAACTGCTCTGCCGAAGTTGGCTGCCCTGTTGTGGGCTGCCCTAGGGAGATGCCAACGTGGCAGGAAACTGAAGTCCAAAGCTGCTGAGTGAGCCTTGAGCCTCGAGAAGGCTGCAGCCCTGATGAACCCCCCTGATGGCAGCCTGGGAGAGACTCAGAGCCAGAGGTGTCCAGCCAAGCTGCATTCAGATTCCAGTCTAAGAAAAACTGGGAGATAATTGATGTTTTTTTACACCATGACGTTTTGGGGTTGTTATACAGCCGTTGATAACCAATACACATGTTTATCTTAATGTGTCTAAGGAAAAAAAACACAAGTGGTACAATGTTTGGGTTTGCAGGCATTTGTTGATGGATCGCAGTGAAACTAGGGAAAATGAGTCCATTTAAGTCAACTGGAAGAGAATAATAGGATGAATAAATAAAAGATAAAAATAAAAGAATGAATGGAGGGGAATGGATATGACCAAAGTTTGATAAGAATCAAGATATTGATGGGACAGTTATTTTGATGCCACAGCAGGTGTATTCAATATTAGAAGTAACTAGAGTTATGTCAGGGCAGCCGTTCACAAGGTGTGGTGCAGGCTTCTGGTTCCCTGGCTCCTCCTGGAACCACAGCCTAAATGTGTGCAGTGTCCCCATTGAGGGAGCGACAGATTTGTGGCCTGCTTACCGCAGCCCCGTGCCCAGTGAGGATCTGGGAGCCCTGGTTCTAGGGCAGCACCTGACTGTGGCAGTTACCTTCCTTCTCTGGGCAGGGGGCCAGCGGAAGTTGAGGTACAAGAGGAAGGGGAAGACAGTGGGTGTCAGATGAGGTCAGGTCATGCCTCGGCTCTCCTACAGAATTGCCTCCCAGTCTGGAGCACCAGAAAGACCCATGGACTGGGCAGGCAGGTAGACTGGTGACCTCATCTAACCTCAGCTGTAGACAGGGGTTTGCTCAACAGAGTCCTTCTTCCCTCTGGCTGGAGAAATGCTGTCACTGTGTCATCTTTCCCAGTCCTGTCTCCTCCACTGGACCAGATGGACAAGGAGCTCGCAGAATGGGCTGGTGGGGGTGGGGCGGGGCTGAGCACGCTGAGCACTCAGAGCTCAGACCATTTCTGCTAGAAGGGCACCCCACTCACCGAGCACCTCCTATCTGCCTTGCCCTTGACCAGTGTCACCTTGCTTAAACCCTCTCAGTATCTGTGTGGGGCTGGTGTGACTTTCTCCCCACTTTACAGATGGAGAAATAAGGGCAGTGGGGGGTGATGTGCCCAGGGTCTCAGAGTTGGGTCAGTCTGAGAGCAGAAGCAGCAGGAATGCACATGTCCTGAAGTGACTGTTCCCCCCCCCCCCGTTGTAGCCGCAGCACCTAGTGCCTGGCATGCAGGAAATGCTCAGGAAATACTGGCTGGGCTGGGCTGGGCTGGCAGGGAGGTAGCTCCTGGGCAAACCCACAGAAGGCAACCGAGGCACAGAGAGGGGCTGTGACTGCCTGAGGTTGCACAGGAGCCTGGTTGGCATCTTTCTGGCTTTGCTTCCAGGCCAGCACTGCTCCCTTGGCCCTGTGCCCTTCAGCCAGGGTTCCCAGGAGACCCACACAGGGGACCACAAGGCTGGTTTGAGGACCCACTGCCCAGAGGACCTGCCAGCCGGTTCTCTCCCTGTTGGCGCCTCTAAGCACTTACTGAATGCTAGTGATGGACTCAGCCCAGATGCTGCCGGTGGGCACCCCAGGGACAGCTTGGCCCTACCAGGATGGTATAGCACACTGGCATCTGGGAAAGCTTATTTCTGTCTTCCCTTTCAGGAGAACACCTTCTATTAGCCCCACCTGCCTCCAAGCCAGCCTGGACACCACAGATTCCCTGTAAATTGTTAATCTTAAAAATAAATCTGTTACTTATTTTACCAGCAAAAGTGGGGTTTACCCGGAAGTGGCAGAGAATTGCAAACTGGACCAACACAGCCACAGCAAAGCCACAGGCAAGTTCCCAGAGCAAAGGAGAGGACCCCTCTTTTTTTGGGGGTGGGGGAGGCGGGTTACTCTAAACAGAAAGTCCACTGGATCAGTTTCCAGGTATCGTGGTTTCTCATTGGTCGAGCTGTGACTGTCTCTCATTGGCCGGCCTATTGCTGGGTGAGGAGAAAATCTTCCTTCTTCAAGCAGGGGAGTAAGGTGGGCTCTTCCAGCAGGAAATGTAAGGTACCTGCTCTTCCTGTTTGGGTCTATAGTTGACTACCCTGAGTGGTGGTGCATGAGAGCCCCACCCCACCCCATACTGGCCTTCCCACTCCATTTTATTTTATTTTATTTTTAAAAATAATTTCTTTTTAAGTAATCTTCTACATCCAAGGTGGAGCTTAAACTTGCAACCCAAGAGTAAGAGTTGCATGCTTTACCAACCGAGCCAGCTGGGTGCCCTTCCTCCCTCCATTTTACATGAGGTTTCCTATAATTAATTTTCACAAAATGCTTTTACTGCCTTGCATTGCACTTGGGCCTCCTGGAGTTTGTGCCCAAACATAAATGGAATTCTTTAATTGGAATAAAAACAGATCCTTGGGGGATGGGCCGTTTTTACAAAGTTCTGCATGTATCTATTATTTTCTTTTTCCAGAATAAAAGCATCATACTTCTTTCAGGTAGTAAAATGCATGCTTCTTGTTTTCTTTTCTTTTCTTTTCTTTTCTTTTCTTTTCTTTTCTTTTCTTTTCTTTTCTTTTCTTTTTGTTGTTGTTGGTTTTGTCTTTTAAAATCAAACCCATGAACAAATTCTATGATTTCTCTCTATCCTCCTGGGATAGCCACGCTCTTGAGCTCCAGCACTTTTAAATATTTGCCAACTGATTCACTCAATGATTTTTATTGTTATTTTAGGTTGCATCTCTTTGTATTCTAATGAGGTGAAGCTTTGTTTTAAGCACTCTATATCAATATTTCCTCTCTTGAGAACTTCTGGTTCAAGTCTTTTGTTTCTTTCCCACCTGAGGAGAATTTAATATTTTTCTTATTGATTTTTAAGAGCTCTCTGGGAGGCAGAATTTTGGTTCCTGGTACCTTCACCTCCCGGCACCGCGCCAGTGGTTAAAGTAGGATAGCTGGCAAAAGGGATTTGCACATATACTTAAAGTTACTAACATCAGCTGATCTTAAAATAAGGATATTATCCTGGGTTATCTGATGCACCCAATGTAATCACAGGAGTCCTTAAAAGGAAAGAGGTGTGGCAGAGGGAGGAAGTCGGCAGGTTGGAAGCATCTGGAGGCATTTTGAAGCACCTCATTCCAGGCATAAGAGAGATTCAGGGCACCCTTGCGGCTTTGATGATGGAAGGGGCCGTGAGGGAAGATGTGGTGGTCTCTAGGAGCGGAGAATGACCCCTGGGGACATCCAGCAAGAAACAAGGACCACAGTCCTGGTCTCACGGCAGTGAACCTGCCAGCCCGTCGATGAGTGTGGCCCAGGCCAGCCGACACCTTAACTTTGGCCTCGTGAGGCCCCGACATGAGAACCTAGTCCGGCCGCCGGACTTCTGATCTCCGGGACTGACCCATGATAAATGGCAGGTGTTTTTGGTAAATTTGGGGTAAGGCATCACCGCAGCAATGGAAAACAAGCTATTTATGTGTTACTTCATGTATGTTGTGAGTATTTTTTCCAAGTGTGTCACTTGTCTTTTTAAGCCTTACTCTTAATTATACTTAATCTCACTAGTTCCAAGTTCCATCCTTCAGTCCTCACTCCTAGGTACCCACCACTCACAAGCAAAGCAGATGCCTGGGCCCTGCCGCGAGTTTCTGCTTCAGCAGGTCCGGGAGGGCCCAGGAACCCGCCTTCCGGACCAGCGCCCCGGAGCTGCCGCCCGGGCGCTTTAACGAGGTTTCCTCCCAGCCCCAGAGGGTCCTTCGCGCCCCTCCCCGGAGCGCAGGGCGCCGAGCCCCACCCCGGGGCCGGGCCCGGTAAGCCCCGCCTCCACGCGAACCCTCCGTTCTTATTGGCTGGTAGCGAAGGGGATCCCTGACGTCACGGCGCTGTCCTCTCCTCCCCCCGACCTCCGGAGGCGGGGACGCCACGCCTGCGCAGTGGGGTCGCGCGCGGCAGCTGCGCTCCGGGGAGGGTCCCGGCGGCCGCTGCCCATGGCGGACCCGCGGGCCGAGTGGGAGCCCCTTCTGGGCCGGGCCCCGGGCGGCAGCGGCCACGCCTGGGCGGCGGGCTCAGCGGCTTGCCGCAGCGTTCGCGGCGACCCTGGTGAGCGGCGGGGGCGGGGAGCGGGGCCGCGGGCCGCGGGGGTGGCGCACGGGGTCCTGCCGGCCTCGCGCGCTCCGCTCTGGCCGCGGCGGGGGCTGCACCCTGCGGAGTCGCGGGCGCCCGGGTCCTGCCTCCCTCCGGGCGTCCCAGAGGCGGCCACAGCCCCGCAGCCCCCTGCAGCCCCCTCGGCGGGCCTCGGGTGCATCGCCTCGGTGGCTCTTAGAAGGCAGAGCCTTCTTTCATTTTCCTCCTGGTTATGATAGGGGAAACTGAGTCACAGAGAGGGGCATTCCCCACCCAAGGTCACACAGCGGAGAAGTGGCTGGGGGGGCGGTTCAGTTGTTTCAAGCCCAGCTGGGAGTAGACGAAGGGTGCTCAAGGCTCCCCGGAGGCTGGCCCCCCAGGCTTGGCGTGGGGGCAGGCGTCCCCAGACCAGGGCAGCTTCCTCCCTTTGCCCTCTGCAGCTCCCGCCTGCCCTTCCTGTTTACCGGCAGAGAAATTGCTGAATCCCGAGGAGGGCAGGAGGGTGGAGTCCATCTGTCTCTGGCAGACACCAGGGTGGTTGGGTGCCGGGTTAGGCGTGGAAGGGCCTCAGCCGCATCCTACCGGGGAGAAAACCGAGGCCCAGAAACTGTCTGGGACCTGTCCAGGCTCAGCCCTGGGATCTGCTGCGGCTGCTGCTAGTGCCACACTGGGTGTTCTTTCCAGGAGCACTTTCCCTTTCTGGGCTTGCTTTTATCCTCTGTCCGGGAGGGGCCCATAGTGTGTGCCCATCTGTGGACTATGGGGGTGACGGTTTCCTTTTAGGAGATGGAAAACTAGAGGCCGAGGCAGCCACCTGCCTGCGCATCTCAGAGGCTGTCCTGAGAGAGTTCTCCATCAGCCTGCAACGGGGCGCCACGGGGTCCCTGGGCAAGGGGCACAGAGCTTGCAGACTTTGTTTGCATCTGGAGGTCAGAGTGCCTTTCTCGTGCCCCCACTTCTGGCTGTGTGACCTTGGCAGGTTGCCTGACCTTTCTGAGTTTTACTAAAAGGGAAGTAGTCTGAGGGGCTGACTTGAGGGGTGTTGTGGGGATTTGGAGAGAATGCTGAGGATGCCCTCAGTGTGGGGCCCGGCCAGGTGGCAGAGCTGGTACAGTCGGTGCTGAGGGCCACTCTGGGTGGAGCACCATGATGGTCATAGGTCCCAGTCCCGGCAGAGTGGACAGCCGGCAGATGAGACCTGCATTGTAAGCTAGGAGCCAGGGCCAGGCAGTGTGGACCATCAGAGAGGGCTCTTTGTCCTGGCGCCATGGCCTCGGTGAGGGCTCCCAAGAACATGATGGGACGGTCTGTGTTCTGAGTCTCCCTGGCTAGGCTGCTTGGCCCTGGGGGCGGTGGGGACTGAGGATGACTTGTCTGCGCTCCGCTCCTGTGGAGGCTCCTAGGCGGGGCTCTGCACAGGTCTTGCATGTCCCACAGCCTGATCCTTCTGCCGACGGGTCGGGGAACTGTGCTGTTGGGTGCCCCGTGGACCCTGCAGCAGGTCCTTTTGACCCAGCCTCACCTCGCGGGCCGCAGGGCCAGGGTTGTACTTTCCTTTTCTTGTTCCTGGTCAGGGAGATCACCTTCTTTCTGGCTATAGAAGAGTCAGAGGGAGCGCCATGCTGTGGAAGGGGCTTCTAGAATAAAAGCAGCAAATAGTTACAGCACATGTAACTGCATTCTGTCTGCACATGTCCCATCGTGTGTGACCCGTGATGGGGAACTGAGGCACAGAGGTGGAAGGGCCTGTCCAGGGTCATCGGGGAGCTGGTCGGGGCCCCAGGCAGGTAGGGCAGGGTGGAGCCTGAAACAGGAAGGAGGGGGGCTTGGGGTGGAGAGACTGGTCCTGGGCTGATGTGGGACCCGGTGATGTCCTCTGCTTCCTATGGCAGATGCTGTACCCTGACACTCCGACCTGAGTGCCCACTTATTGCCACATGGGGTGGTGGTCCCTAGACCACCGTGTTGGGAAGCAGTGATCCTGGTAAGGCCGACAGCCTGGGCAAGGGCTTGGAGTCTTGGGGAGAACTTGGCCTTGGCAGAGCCAAGTTCAGGATGAGTGGCATAGAGGGCAGAGGATGGGGGAAGCAGCAGGATGGCTGGTGATGGGTGAGGTGGGTGCCCGTAGTGCCAGGAAGGGGCAATGTGGACCTTTTCCAGAAGCACGGGGCACATGTGGGAAGCTGTGACATGTTCACGACTGAGGGTTTGTGAGAAGATACCTTTGGCTGTTGGTGTCAGGGGCTGCAGAGCAGGTGGGGTGGCCTTGATGAGGTTTGGTGCTCTGAGGCCCAGGCCAGAGGTCTGATGTGTGCTGGGCAATTCTCGGGGTGCCTGACACCCCTGGCCTGTGGTGGCTTGCCTGGGCATGAGCCCCTTCAGCTGCGCCCTGCATCTGGGCCTAGAGTGAGAAGCTTGTATCCTTAGATCTCTCTAGGCCGAGATCTGGTCTCTTACCTGAGGTTTGGGTAACCTGGGGCCCCTTGTGGGTCCCCAGGCCACCCTGCCCTGCAGCCTCCCCTCAGGCTGATTGCTCCACAAAGAAGCTTTGAGGATACTATGTGCCGAGCCCTGTGCTGTCCTAGGCTCTGTGGGTATAGCAGGGAGTAGAACAGAGTGCTGTCATCACAGTTCCCAGGACATCGTCAGGGGAAGTTGGCAGTCACCATCCTCACAGCCTCCCTGGGAGAACTTCAAGGCTCCTCAGGGTGAGCATGGAGGTTGTACATGGGGGGAAATAGGCCCACACAGAGGAGAGGGCACTTGCTTTGGATGACAGCAATGTGGTGGCAGAGCCAGGCTGGAGCCTAGGCTCCTGCCTCTGTCGGGAGTCCCCAGTGTCCCCAGTTGGCCCCCCGGGCCCTGCAGTGGGAGCCCTGAGGACAGGGATAGTCGCTTCCCTGGGGGGTGATGGGCAGAGCAGACAGTGGCGCACCCCCCACTCTGCCTCTGGCTTTGGGACCTCTGCTCTAGAGGCACGCACAAAGCTGCATTCTCTCTGTGCCAGGTACGGGCAGTTTAGGAGCTGCTGGCACAAAGGGGCCAGATGTGAAAGCAGAATCTTCCACAGAAGCAGCTGTCCTCTTAATTTCCGAGCCCCAGTCTGGGAAGTGCTGGAGGCTGCATGCCGGCTCTGCGCCGCCTCCCCACGGCCCCCGAGGCCTGGGCTGCCCCCTTCCTCACGGACCTCGGGCGATGGGGCTCTTTGTTGTGAGCCATGGCTCCTCACACCTTTCTTCTCCTTTGAGTCAAGCAGTGGTTTCTGCAATGAAGCCGCAGAGGTGGCACTTGGCCCTGAGCAGTGGACGGGACCCAAGGCGGCAGGGACTGACCTAGTGTGTAGCTTAGGGCTGCTCCCTGGGCAGGCGGCAGGGGTGCTGGGCTGACGCCTCAAGCCGCCTGACTTGTCTTGAAGGCTGCTCAGAGTCGGAGCCTGCTGGGGCCCACGGAGGCCCCGTCCAGCCTCCTGTGCTCTGCCTCCCAAGTTGCTGGTTGCTGAAGGTGGCAGAAGGGTAGTGCCGGGCCTGCGGCTGCCTCGTGTGCAGACCTGCTGCAGGGAGAAAGGCATCTCATTCCAGAGCCTTGGAAAAGAATGCCTCCAGATTCTTTCCTTGATCTCGATTGTCCTGTAGCAGGTGAGCGTCACATCATCTGCCTTGTTGCCTGATGTGTATTCTCTGCCTGCAGGTGCTGCGTCCCGGTGGGATCTCTGCTTTGACCAGGCTACTGTGTTCATCGAAGATGCAATCCAGGTGGGCGGCACCTGCTCCTAGTGGCTGGGCCTGGGCTCATCTCCAGGTTTTGTGGGGCCTGGGTGATGGCTGCCCTGCTGGTCCCCTCCTTGCTGTCCTGGGGCCAGGCCTGGGTGGCTGGTCCATGTCGTCATATAACTGTGATGATGGGGCCTTTGGGCCTGACTTGCCTGGAGTCCTCCCTGAAGCAGGGGGTTGCTGGGGTGCTGAGTGTTCTTCTTTTGAGTCCTAGCATCAATCGCTTGTTTTGTTGACAGTCCTGAGGGCCTGTCATGCACCTGCATTGTCCCAGGTCCTGTGAAAGATGCCCAGAGATGGTCAGACCATCCCCGGCTGGAAAACAGCACTCAGGCTCAATGAGAGAAATAGCGATGGAAGGAAGCAACGTGCCATGTGGGGAGTTAGGCTAGGGTGTCCTGGAGAGTGACAGGGTTGTAGGGGCCTAGCACAACAGAGGGGAGAGCCTCACAGGCAGGCAGTGGATACAGCTATACATTTAGAAGCATGTGTCCATGCAGGACAGGTTCCTAGGGTGCTCTGCCTCTCTCAGCAAACATGCCCCTGCAGGGTCCCAAGAGAGCCCTTTGTCCATGTTTGTAGTGAAAGTGGACTCTGGTCCACAGCCCGTCTGCCTGCCGAGGGCCTGTCCTGGGGTCAGTGGGTGCCCTGATGTGGCTGGCTGTGCTGTGCAACTCTGAGGGGACCCTCACTCACGCTCCCCTGTGTGATGTTCACTTTCAGTATCGTTCCATTAACCACCGCATGGATGCCAGGTCGATGTGGCTTTACCGGTTGTATTACTCGAACACGTGCCAATGGTGAGAAGGCACATGCATGCAGCGTGGGGTTCCTGCGGTCTGGGTGGACGGGGGGAGGCTGGTCTCAGTGTCCTGGCGGGCTGTCCTCTCCCCATAGTGGAGAAGGAGCTGCTTTTCCCTCCTCTGGGAAAGGAGCCCAGCCCAAGGAAAGAGGGGCTTTTCTGGTGATGAGGGTTAGCTTTGGAGATGGAGTGTTGGCTTGAGTTGCGCTGTCTGACCCCTTGAGAGTCGGCACACACCAGGAAGCATGGCCTTGCCTTTTTTTTCTTTTAAAGATTTTATTTATTTATTCATGAGAGACATACAAAGAGAGAGAGAGAGAGAGAGAGAGAGAGAGAGAGAGAGTGTGTGTGAGAGGGAGGCAGAGACCCAGGCAGAGGGAGAAGCAGGCTCCATGCAGGGAGCCCGACATGGGACTCAGTCCAGGGTCTCCAGGATCAGGCCCTGGGCCGAGGGCGGCACTAAACTGCTGAGCCACTGGGGCTGCCCCGTGGCCTTGCCTTTTGAAACCGTGGAGTCTGTCCCACTGTCCTCCCAGGGACTCTGCCTGCAGATCTAGTGTTTGACCCAGAGCACGGCTGATTCGTGAGTTTTAATTAGTTTTTGTTCCTTTTTTCAGGATATTGAGCTTCACCATTTTCTTGATCCTGTTTTTGGCTTTTATTGAGACCCCTTCCTCGCTCACAAGCACTGCGGATGTCCGCTACCGCTCGCCCCCCTGGGATCCACCATGTGGCCTGACCGAGAGCATCGAGGGGCTCTGCCTTCTGGTCTTTGTGGCCGACGTCTCTGTGAAGGTGAGGTGGGTGCCGTCAGGTGCCAGAGCGCAGGGACCAGGGCCCTCCCAGCCTGGTGCTGCTTTTCTGATTAATTTTCATACTCCTGGAGCTAGCTGCCTTTGGCTCTGACTGTGCACTTTGACCATCTGAGCAGAGGCGTGGGTTGGTGGAGGGTTCTGGGCTTTGTCAGCTCTCGGCCCTCTCCAGAAGAAACTGAGTCTTGGGTTCAGCCCTGCCAGGTGCATGGCCTCGCGGGGCCTCTGGGAGTGGCTGAGGGTCAGAGGCCCCCTTCTCCTGTAGGACGAGGGTAGACCAGTGGTCTCTTGGCCCAGCCTCCCACCCCCAGCAGAAGAGGAACACAGGAGGAGGTGGGCGTGGGGCCTGTAGCCACATGGTGTGTGTCTGACTCTAGATTCTCTCTGACTTGAGGCCTTCTGGAAGCTGGAGGTGTGCCCTGCCTTGCTCATTTGAGCTGAGCCATGTCAGAGGCTCAGAGCCTTAATGGCTTCCCAGTGAGATGCAGGGGGGCTGAGAGGCCGGGTCCTACTGTGGGTCACACGTTACTTTTGTCAGATGGTAGCAATTCCAACGCTCCAGTGCTGGGCCCTCCGGACATAGCGGGCTGGGTGGCGCGGCAGGCTACCCCCAGAGTCACTGGGCAGGGCCTTTGCCCAGCACCTGCTGGGCTATCCTGCGGGGAGTGTGGCTTCAGGCCTCTGCTGCTGACGTTGAGGCCCGTGGGTGAGGGCCCTGGGTAGCTTCGAGGTAGTTCTTTTTTAGCTCTTGTGTTTAGGGGCTTTGGGGGTTTTTAAACTGGAACTGAAACTAGTGAGAAGGTCTCATTAGTATTTTTTGAATGGTTGGTACATTTGGGGAGTCTCAAAAGTCAGAGTGAGTTCACATTTTTATCTGCATGCTGTGACCTCTGGATGTCCCTGCCGCCCATGGGCCTCATGATGACTGGCCCCTGGCTGCAGAGGCAGACCTCAGGCCTGGTTTATGGATGGTTCTGGGTGTGGGCCAGCCCTAATCAGAAGTGGACCATGTTGGGTGGTACAGCCTCAATTGGCAAAGCCCTGTTTCTAGAATGGCTCTTTTCCAGTGGTTCCTGGGCATGAGCTAAACTAACGGGTGGGATGGGCAGGACGGCTCAGATCCTGTTGCCCCTGAGGAAGCAGGACAGAGTGGTTAAGTGCTGAGCACAAGGTCACTGACTGCCTGAGGTCACCAGTGGGCTGGCCAGGGAGTTTAGCTTCATGTTCCCCAAGTCACGTGAGAGCACACTGCTGGCCGAAGCTCCCGGCTCTGGCTGCCCCTGCCTTACTTGGGGGCATTGACGGCCACGGGCTGGTGACTACCGGGCTGCCCGCTCACTCACCGCCTCTCTTGCAGAGCTACCTGGTTGGCTGGGCCCAGTTCCAGAAGAACCTCTGGCTGCTGGCCTACATGGTGGTGCTGGTCGTGTCTCTCATGGACTGGATCGTGTCACTGGGTCTGGTTTGCCAGGAGGTAGGTGGTGCTGCGCTCTGAGATGGGAGCTAGAAGCTCTGGTGGCCTGTGCCCTGCCCAGCTCTGCCCACCCTCCTTCAGCCAGCCGTCGGCCACGGAGCCTCGTCCCAGCTTGTAGAAGAAGACACTGAGGCCTGGGGAGGGTGTGAGGACTCCCAGTTCCTGCCTCGCCACCTTTCAGCTGAGCACCTCGACTGGTCAGGTCCGCCCGCATCCTGGGCCTCACCGTGGCCATGTGGCCCATGCTCTGGGAGGGCTGCCATGGGAGAGCCCATGTGAACTGCAGCGTCCCCTTTGCCCCCCTCCCGGATGCACTGCCCAGTGCCTGGAAAGAACAGAAGCAGGGAAGTAGGTGTGGGGACATCCGTGTCCATCAGGGCCAGGCAGGGACACAAGCCTATTGAGTGCTTTGGCTAAGAGAACTCATGTCTCGGCTTAAGCAGGTGTTGAGTAACCGATAAGGCAGAAGGACAGGGTGGGGGCGGGCCCAGCAGGCTCCAGAACTGCAGGAAACTCAGGGGAGGGGCCCCCAGAGCTGGCACCCTGCCCTCCAGGCCCTGGAGGGCTGCAGATCACCAGGACCCCACCGGAGACTGCTTGGTCTGGCAGGGCTGAAGGAAGGGGAGACTGGGAGCTCCTGGTGTGGGTACTGCCCAAGGGACAGCCAGGGGACAGGTGCGTGTCCCCCTCTGCCCCACAGTGTCCTCACTGGCAAGAGTAAGGCTTGCTGAAGGGGAACCGATGACAGCTGGGGCCCAGGGCCCGCCTCCTGCTTCCTTGCAGGAAAGAGCTTAGTTAACACATACGAACCCACATCTGCGCACTGACCAAGGGAGGCTGCTCAGGCGTCTCAGACCACGCTTTGCTGTTGGCTGAGGCCCTGAGTCACCCTGAGAGCTTCCTCCTGCCCAGTGTCCCGGCGCCCTGTGACTCCCCTGCTCCCCAGTTCCCCTGGGTCTTCGCCTTGAGCGTAGACCCAGATCTTTGTTCCTGGGCAGTCCGTGTCCTTGGTGGTGCTGCCTTTTTTGATTCCTGGAGTTTCCTGATAATCTTTCTGCTGGCTGTGCCTCAGTGTCCCTGACTGAGGCCTCCCTGACCCTCTGGGCAGCAGCACCCCCCGCCTGTCCCCCACTCTTGCCTTCGTAAGACTTACAGCGTGTCCCTGGGGGAACACCTGCCCCCCCGGAGTGGATGTTCCCAGAGTAGCAGGGCACCGAATTGTGGGCTGTTTTATCCTGGTGCTCAGAGCCTCTGGTGCCTCTTCTGGTCCCATAGAGGGCTGTCCTCCAGCACGGGTGTCACCCAGCCTGCCCAGGGCCACCGAGCTCCTGCCATGGGTCGGCTGCTTCTGAGGCTTGGGTCGCGGTCCTGGGTGGTCCCAGGCAGAGCCCTAACCCGCGTGACTGTTCAGTGAGGACAGCCAGTGTCCTGCCTGGGGAAGGGGCCCGATGCAGTCACCCACCCATCAGGGGGCCACATCGGGGTGGGCTGAGTGCAGATGGGCTTTGCTTCTGGAGGGAAGGCCATCCGTGGTGGCCTTGGGGGAAAGTCTCTGATGTCACAGGACATGTCATCTGTCTCTCGAGTGTTCACTCTGCCCACCCACATGCATGCTTCTCAGACCTTGTCCCCAGTTGTGTGCTGTGTTCTTTCCGTGCCCTGCCCCCTGCAAAGCTTTCCCTTCGGCACCGCCACTGGAGGGTCTTCCTGATGGAGGCTGTAGTGCCACACATGGTCCACTTGTGAGTAGGGTCAGCCTATCACCTAGAACCATCTACAGACCAGGCCTCAGATTCTTTCCTGTCCAGCTGGCCAGTCACAAAGAACTCACATGGGTGCTGGGGGAGGGAGGGCGAGGAGGACCAGGGGCCCCCACCTGCTCCAGCCCAATCTCTCTGTCCGTTGTCCTTGTGGGCCAGAGGGTCAGGTCCCACGTGGTCTGCCGCTGGATAGACCATGGTCACAACTGTGCTGTGGCTCTCTCTGCTGGGAGGTGGGGTGTCTGCAGGTTAGTTGGTGGGCTGTGATTCTGTGTGGGCCTCACCAGGGGCTTCACTGGCACCGGGCCGGCTTCTCCTTGGCATTGAGGCTTGTGTCTGCCTCCTTATCCTTCATAAAGGCCACACATCTCTGTGTCCATGACCCAGATGGGCCCCAGCGTCGGGAGGGCTCTTGGCAGGTTGAGTTACTACAGCTGGGAGAAGCTGCATGCTGGTCCGTGTCTGATGACGGGTGGGGGTCCCAGTCCCGGGGTGCGGGTGCCAGTAGGACCTTCAGGCCCTGCTTGACCTGGAGGGATGGCTAAGGGACTCGGGTTACAGACACTGAGACGGGTTCCATCCGGAACAGTGGAGATCATGGGTGAGCTGGGGACGCTGGCCCCTCAGCGCACAGGGACGGGGTGGGGGCAGGGCCCTGAGCATACATTTATTGCTGTTTCCTTTGGCTTTCTCGGTCCTGTGTCGGGACCCGGGCCCCCCCCGGGCCTCCCCCAGGGAGGTTGAGTTAGGCCTGGGGATCACATGTCCTGTGGATGATCTGGAGGGACCAGCGCTGGTAGGACCTTGTTCTGTTGTAAGAGAGACCCACAGTATGAGGAAAGCCCAGATGCACCGTGGCGTTACAGAATGCCATGGGTGCTGTGCTAGAGGAGGTTGGATGAGAGGGACAGGGACAGCCTGCCAGCTGAGTAGAGGGGTGGGCAGGAGGGCGAGCAGTGGCCCCTGGATGGGCCAGAGAGGGCCTCCAGGCAGTCCTTAGGACTTGGACAGGGAGGGGATGTGGTCCTTTTGGTTTCTAAGACAGTGGGACGGGAGTCGAGTTAGGAGCTGGGATGGGCTGCGGCATGTGAGAGTACAGAGCATCAGCATGGTGCTTAAAACTGCATGGGAGGCCTGACAAGTGTGCCAAGGCATGAGGTCGCAGAGGTGAGGAAGGGGATCTGGGTGTCAGCACTTGGGGGTCAGGTATGGGGGAGATAGCCTGAGGCGCTGGGCAGACTCAGGCCTGGTCGTCCCTGAGGCTGGGTCCAGCAGCCCAGACAGGAGGACTGGCTGGGTCAGGAGTAGGGACACGTAGAGCAGGTGGAGGGCATTAGAACGTGTGTGGTATTGCTATGGAGGAGGGAGGAGAGGGGCTCCTGAGGGAAGCCCTTGAGACAAGCCCTTGAGACGGCTGGGTGGTCCTGAGGACAGGGTTGAGGGGTGAAGGTGGGGGGGCCTCTCCTTGGTTCTGACAGGAAGGAAGAGGGGAAGGAGGAAATGGGGGCCTGTGTGTGGACCCATGTATGTGTGCTTGTGTGTAGAGGGCGTGCATGTGTCGGGTAGGCGCACAGAGGCTGTGTGTGCAGGTGGACACATGTGTGTGAGGGATGGGGCCGCAGCTGGGAGGGGTGGGGACAAGGGAGGAGCCAGGAGCTTGGAGTAGCCCCCTGGGTGTGTTTGTAGAGAGGAGTGGAGTCCCCATGGTGCTGAGGCTGCAGGGCTGATGGGAGTGGGGTGACCCGTTGGCAGGGGTTGGGGGAGGATGTGGAGCCTGCGTGAGACCGGGTAGGGAGGCCAGGGCTGTGAGCAGATGGCCGGGGCAGGGTGGGGGGTTCTGAGTGGGGCTCCAGGGCTCTTCTGCACCTCTGGTCTCGGGCCTGGGCGGAAGTGGAGAGCCCCTTTCTGCTGTCTTTCAGCCCCTGCGGATTCGTAGGCTTTTGCGCCCCTTCTTCTTGATGCAGAACTCGTCCATGATGAAGAAGACGCTCAAGTGTATCAGGTCATCACTGCCGGAAATGGCCAGGTGGGCTCTCAGTGCGGGGGCTTGCAGGGCAGGTGGGGTTTCCTGCCATCGGGGGTGCCAGGACTGCACCCTGGGGTGTGGCCAGTGCCCACCTGGGGGGAGGCCAGTGTGGGGGTTTTTGGGGGCCTCCTAGCAGCCCCTTGGTGGTCTTGTGCCCTCTGATCAATAGCTGCGGAGCCCTGCAGATGCTCCCCTTCGGTCCCTCTGTGGCCCTGACCACCCCCCCACCCCCGTTTCTCTGTCCCCTGGCCTCTCTCTGCCTCGCATCCCCTCCCCTCGTGGCTCAATGAGTTGAGCCCTCATTGTCCAGCGCAGATGGAGGGATGTGGCCTTACCCCTCAGAGAGTCCAGGGGCATCCTTAGGGTATGCCCCTGGGGTCCTGACTGTCCCTGCCAAGGAAAGAGCTCCCTCAGGATAGGACCAGTAGCTGAGTGCATGGCAGGTTCTGGGGCAGAGGGTTCCCTGAGCAGTTGGGCCGGTTGGCCCCCATCCCCTTTGGCTCGTGGGGCGTGTGTCCTGTGCTGAGCACCTGCATCCGTCCCTCCAGTGTCATGCTGCTGCTGGCGCTCCACCTGTGTGTCTTCACCATGTTTGGGATGCTGCTGTTCACAGGCGAGAAGGTACCACACTCCTTTCTGTCCCCAGCCTGGAGCCCTGGGGGTTGATGGACAGCTTGGCCCTCCGGGTCACTCTTGGGCTGCAGAGGTGGAGGAGAGGTCAGGCTGCCGCCCTGACCTTGTGACCAGGGTCAGCGGTGGCCTGCCTAGACTGCAGTGTCTCTTCAGATGACCTGTCGTCCCAGTGCCCCTGCCAAGCCACCCCTCGTCGGCCTGGCTGCTCCCCATGCCTCCCTCCACCCCTCCCTCTCCCCTCCCTGCCCTGTTGCTGACCCAGCTCTCCTTTCACCTCATTGGGTAGAGGCCCCCTCAGATGGGCACTGGGGGCCGTCGGGGTGCACTGCACTGCTATTCGCTCCCCTCACAGCACCTGCCTGTCTCTGCTTCCTCTTCTCCAGCTGGGCCTTCTGCCCGCCTCCTGGGTCCCCTTCTCTTCCAGCTCTTGCTGCTGCTTGGCCCCCGATGGCTTGTTGCTGTGTGGAGGTGTCTGGCACCTCTCACCCTGGTCTCCTCCCCATGCATCTGTGGTCCAGTGTGTCTGTGTTCACATCCTGACCTGGGTCCCTGTCCTCCTCAGGGCAGGAGCTGTCCTGCATCTCTGTCCTGGGAACATGGGATAGTCAGTGAGGCCAGTGTCCCTTGAGTTTGTGGCAATACTGAGTTCAGGCTGTACTGTCCGTGAGGGAGGACTGGACTGTCCCTTCTGACTCTGGAAGACCTGGAGCTCCCTGTGTGTGTGTGGTGTGTGTGTGTGTGTGTGTGCACTTCCCTGTGAAAGGAACCCATGTCTGTATCTCTTGAGTGTGTGTTTGTGTCATTGTGTGTGCTGGATGTGTGTCTCTGTACCTGGGTGTGTGCTCTGTGTGTGTCTTTGTACATCCGTGTATTTGTCCATGTGGTTGTGTGGCTGAGAGCTTTTCACCACAGTTCTGAGCAGACCTGCTTCGGGGTCCGGTGTCTCGGGGGCTGTGCAGCTTTCCTGACACTGGCTCTTGGGCTCAGAGGCCCCGAGTTAGGTCTTGTCTGGCTGTGAGGGCAGAGTCTGGTGAGAAATGATGGGGGGGTGCAGGGCAGGGGATGCTGGCCCCGCAGTGGACGGAGCTCCAGTTGGCCTTGGGCCTCAGCTGGTGGAGCAGAGGCCCGGTGACCTGGTGGAGCAGAGTGCCCCAGAGCTGCCACATTTGTTCTCAGCAGGATGATGGGCAGGACCGGGAAAGGCTGATCTACTTTCGCAACCTGCCGGAGGCTCTGACCTCCCTGCTGGTGCTGCTGACCACTGCCAATAACCCCGACGGTGTGTGAGGAGGGGGCACGGGGCCTGGGGGTGGGCGTGCTTCGTGCGGAGCCTCAGCGCTGGGCTCTGGGAGGCAGGAGTGTGGAGGGCTTTTTTTATCGCTGGGTGGAGGATGAAAAGGAGGACGTTGGGTTCTCTCCCTCGCTCCTTCCTTGTTTTTCTTTCTCTATTTGTCTCTTCTCTTTTCCTTCCTGTTTCTTCTTTTTTTTGCATTATTTCTCATCTCCTTTGCTCCCTTCCCTCCTTCCTTTTTTTCCTCTATTCCCTTCACCTTGTCTTTCCCGTCTCCTGACTCTACCGAGAAGCTAAGAATGAACAAGGTGACAAATGGTGGTGTGTTTGGCGTGTTCCCTGGTGGGTTCATCTTTGAGGCCCAGCCACTTTCCCTGTCGTCACCTGGGCCCACCTGTGGGGTGTGGCTCGGCCCTGAGGTGACCAGCCCTGGGTCTTAGGTGGCTGTGGTGCTCATGTTTGGGGTTATGCTGGGGCCTCTGCTTAGGCCAGGCTGTGGCCAGGATGAGGTGCTGTGGGCCTTTAGGGCCTGGCTGTGGCCTTGCCACCCTGGCTCGAGACTTTGGTCTTGGGCTCAGGGATGATCCCCCCATTAGAGAGACCTTCCCGGGAGGGCAGGCCCAGCTTCCACACCCAGAGAGAGCTGTGCAGTGGGACACCCTGAGCACTGTCCTCACGTGTCCCGTGAATCTAGCAAATCCCCCAAGGAAGAGCTGAGCTTTTGGGGTGCGAGGAGTTCACAGGGAAGCAGGTTTCAGCTTAGTGTAAGGAGGAGCAGCCTGGAAAAGCAGTGAGTTCCCCACTCCAAGGGTGTGTGAGCAGAGGCGTGAGGATCAGCATTGGGACAAGAAGGCCTCCTAGGTCTCCCAGCCAGAGCCCTTCTTTTTGTTGAGAGGGCAGACTGTGTGGGGCCGTGTTGGGAATTAGATCGGAGGCTGAGGTTGTGAGCACGTTTTAATTTCTCCTAATTTCTTTCTCTCAGTTATGACTCCTGCGTATTCCAGGAATCGGGCCTATGCCATCTTTTTCATAGTCTTCACCCTGATAGGTAAGTTCCGGTGGATCTGTAGGGGTCACTTGGGATAAGATCCTGCCCCCAGTGGCAAGATCCTGAATGCTCAGTTGTGAGTGTGGCGTCCCGACCCCACGACTTCACCTCGGTGTGCCCTCCTTGCTGAATTCACCTCAGTGTGTCCTCCCTGACCCTGTGTCTTCACCTCAGTGCATCCTCCCCGACCCCACATCTTCACCTCAGTGTGTCCTTCCTGACCCCATGTCTTCACCTCAGTGCATCCTCCCCGACCCCGCGTCTTCATCTCAGTGCGTCCTTCCCAACCCCATGTCTTCACCTCAGTGCGTCCTCCCCGACCCCGCGTCTTCATCTCAGTGTGTCCTTCCCAACCCCATGTCTTCACCTCAGTGCTTCCTCCCTGACTCCGCATCTTCACCTCATTGCATCCTCTTCGACTCCGCATCTTCACCTCAGTGCGTCCTCCCTGACCCCTCGTCTTCACCTTAGTGCGTCCTCCCCGACCCTTATCTTCACCTCAGTGCGTCCTCCCCGACCCCTCGTCTTCACCTTAGTGCGTCCTCCCTGACCCCGTGTCTTCACTTCAGTGCATCCTCCCTGGCCCTGTGTCTTCACCTCAGTGCGTCCTCCCCTACCCCGCGTCTTCACCTCAGTGCGTCCTCTTCGACCCTGTGTCTTCACCTCAGCGCGTCTTCCCTGACCCTGTGATCTTACCTCAGTGTTTCCTCCCAGACCCTGTGTCTTCACCTCAGTGCGTCCCCCTGACCCCGTGACTTCACCTTGGTGTGCCCTCCTTGCTGACTTCTCTTCAGTGTGCTCTCCTTGCTGACTTCTCAGTATGTCCTCCCTGACCCTGCAACTCGCATTAGTATGCCCTCCCCAATCCCGTGTCTTCACCTCAGTGCGTCCTCCCCGACCCCGTGTCTTCACCTCAGTGTGTCTTTCCAACCCTGTGACTTCACGTCAGCGTGCCCTCCCTGTTGACTTTGACTCCGTGTGTCCTCCCTGACCCCATGATTTCACCTCAGCGTGCCCTCCCTGCTGACTTTGCGTCAGTGTGTTCTCTTGACCCTGTGACCTCATCTCAGTGTACCCTCTGACCTCGTGACTTTGCCTCACCATGGCCCGCCTCGTGGTTTTCAGTCTGTGGCCACCGATAGCCTCTGTCGTCAGTGGCCGTGGCTGGCAGGCCCGGTGGCACGCATATTCAGTAGATGAGGACAGGGAGGTCTGCATGTGGACCAGGTCCCTGGCAGGACTGATGGGCTCTCCCTGCTCTGAGGTCGTCCAGGCCCTGCTCACCAGCCCCTGTGGGTCTGCTGTGCCTGTGTTGGCCCTCTGGGGCCCCTGGGTGCTGCCCGTAGCCCTGGGCCCCTGATGCTGCTGCCCTCTGCCTGTTGCTCCCCACTGACTGTGGCTTTTTCACGTGAAGGAAGCTTGTTTCTGATGAACCTGCTGACGGCCATCATCTACAATCAGTTCCGGGGCTACCTGATGGTGAGCCGGGCTGCTGTTTCTGCTCCTCTGTGAGGAGCTGCCTCTGGAGGCCCAGCGGGGCACGGCTACGGGGTGGGCCCAGGGGAGTGGTGGTCCCGGGGGTCTCTGCACTGCTCTCTGGCTCCCTCCTGCCACATCCCCCCCTGAGGGGCCATTCCCTGCTCCCTCTCCTCTAGAGGGAGGCCATGAGGTCGCAGCTCCACCGCGAGTGGCCCTGAGCCTGCCATGCAGGAGAACTGGGCAACCCAGATGGGCACCTTAGTGAATCCATGGGCCATGAAGAGTCTGGCTGTTCCTCTGGTGCCCGAGGGGGTGAGAGCTGCTCCCCAGCTGCAGGCAGGCAGGGCGCCCCTGGAGGCCGCTGGGCACCAGCCAGGGGCGGGGGGGGATGTGTGGCAGGTGGAGGCCCAACCCCCACCACTCAGAGCCATTTTCCTTGTAGAAGTCTTTCCAGACCTCCTTGTTCCGGAGGCGGCTGGGAGCCCGGGCTGCTTATGAGGTCCTCTCCAAGACCACGGAGGGGGAAGCCCATCCTCAACGGTGAGTGCAGGGCTCCTGGGGCCCTTCTCCCTGGGGAGATGGGGGCCGCTGTGGGGAGGGAATCCTTAGGTGCTCCATGGAGCATTTCCTAGCTCTCTGGGGTCTGTGCCTGATTTTAGCGCTGCCTCGGAATCACGACAAAACCACATCCTTGGCACTGCAGGGCTGTCATTCTCTGGGTTGACTCATTTGTTCTCATGACCCCTGGAGCCCATGGGTTGATGAGGGCTGGCTGGCATTGGCCCTCCCCTCTGGCCCACACCCTTCCTGCACCACTGTGCTTGGCTGCTGGAACCTGTGGGACCTGGGACGTATGTCTTTGCCTCCGCCTGGTCTGGAGGTGGTGTCTGGAAGGTGATGATCCCGATGGCTCATGAGCTGCCCTGTCGTATCTCTTTTGTACTGCGTACCACTTCTGAGCCCCGTGTGCTCCTCTTGAAGGCAGGACAGTAGTGTCTTCGGGGATTTTTAGATGACGGAGGCCCTTGTCATTGCCCAGGGCCACTCAGTCACATGTGGCACAGCTCAGGTCAGAGGTGTGGGTGCCCCGGTGGGCTGTACCAGCTGGGCTCACTGGGGCGTGGGTGTCTTCTTCACAGAGTTGGGGTGAAGCCCCAGGACTTCCTGCAGGTGCTTCATAAGGTCCAGCTGGACAGCGCCCACAAACAGGCCATTGTGGAGGTACCAGAGCCCCCTCGTCCTCTTGCCCTCCCCAGCCTGGGCTTCTGGGCCCCTCCTGATGGTCACCTCAGCCAGCTGCCCCCTTTCAGCACAGGGCTGTCATTTCAGATCACCTGGGGCTGGCCCAGGCCGGGTGGGGCTGGGGATAGTGCACCTTCCTGTGGCGGCCCTTCCTCCCCTCCCAGCTGAGCCCGGCTGACTCGCTTCCCTCTTTTGCAGAAGGTGTGTTCCTATGGTGATGACCTGCTGTCAGCTGACGAGTTTCAGAAACTCTTCAATGAGTTTGACAAAAGGGTGATCAAAGAGGTAACTGGTACCAGGCCACCTGGGGGGAGCTGGGAAGGTTACAGCACCTATTGGTATTGATCACCTGGGTGACCATTAATGGTCAGTGCCAGAATCTGCCTTCCTGAGAATTTTGGCCCCTAGGATGACAGATGGGAACAGAGAGCGCTTGGCTCTTAGAAGCTGGCATGGTTTTGTCAATCATGAAATTCACGGACCACAGAGAGTGGCCTGGGTCACATCTGACCCAGAGGAGCCTTCCAGAGGGTGTTTCCTGTCTCCATGACAGACTTATACTACTTCCATGTGTCCTTCCCCAGGAGAGTCCTGAGTTTGTCCAAAGCCTTCATTTTTTTGTCCTTGACACCAATCTGTGAAGTCACCAGATGAGCCTCGGCCTCCAGCTCCGCACTGCATCCGCAAGAGCCCTGTTCCGTGTTAAGCTTTCAGTTATTAGTGTGTAATTGTCACATATTTTTTCCCAGAATAGTTTTTGTCCTGTAGCACTTTGTGTCCATTTAGATGGCTGCCTTATATTGTGGTTTCCCTGAGCTGTCTGTGGCCATTTAGGTTCTCTCTAGCTTTCTTTGGTGTTAAGAGACGACTGCGATGAACATTTTAGTGTGTGCAACTGTTTCCATGTTTGAGATTATTTTATTAGGCTGGACAGACTTGGATAAGACAGGAGGTAGGAAAAAAGTTGAATTCCAGAATAAGGTTGTATGGGCAGTGGCGGGCTCCCTGCAGCCACAGCCTCCTGCAGGCTCGTGTTTCTGAGCCTGGGTGTGTTCCCTCCGTAGCACCCTCCGCGGCCCGAGTACGGGTCTCCCTTCCTGCAGAGTGCCCAGTTCCTCTTCAGCCACCGCTACTTTGACTACCTGGGGAACTTCATCGCCCTTGGGAACCTTGTGTCTGTTTCTGTGAGTGCGGGCTTGCCCTCGTGTGGATGTGGGAGGCGCCTCGTTGCCCACCCCCTTGGCCCCTGCCCCTCCTCCCAGCTCCCTGACTGGCCGTGGCACCCTGGCACCGGCCTGGGCTGGTGAGCTGCCTGCCGCTCTGGCTCTGCAGGTGTTCCTGGTGATGGATGCAGATGTGCTGCCCGAGGACCGTGACGACTTCGTCCTAGGGGTGAGCTCTGGGGCTGCGCTGCTCTCAGGCGTTCGCCAGGGTGATGGGAGAGTCAGCGGGAGCAGAGGGCACAGCCTCCCCCTCCCTGGGGCCCTTCTGGTGCAGAGCCACTCCTTCCATCATGGGGTGCTGCAACAGGAGTGGGTGCTGGGCCTGGGAGAGGCTGGTGCGGTGCAGGCCGCAAGTGTGCCAAGGCGTCTTCCGGGCTTCTCTGGCCCTGGGATTGGAGCTTCCCCCTCGGGGCTGCTTCTCAGCCAGTGCTCAGCCCTTTCTGGAATTGTGAGCTCTTTTCTTAACATTACTAGGTCTTGTCAATCTCCTTAGGAATTTGAAAACCATTTTTTCGTTTTGGATTTTTAAGCAAAATAGCAACACCCCTATGTTATTTAATCCCAGAACCCTAACAAAGCAGGTATTTTAAAGTTATTTTAATGAAAGGTCTTGTGAACAGTGTTAAAATTGATGGAAGTGAGTGAATGTTCTTTAATTAGTCATGTAGGAAACAGCTTGATTTGTCTGATGTAAAACTGTCACAGAATGTCACGTGTATTAAACAGAGAGTAGACTTTAGCATCAAAATGGAAAAAATGGTTTTCCTGACCTGATGCTTGAAATTCCTTTGTTTTATACTTTAAGAAAGTCTTATTTCCATTGTACTTTATTTCTGGATGACACTGGAAAGCTTCAGTCTCCTAGTGAGTAACTCACCGTTGGTTTTTACTCTTGACAAAATCAAGTTGGATGCAGTTGACCTATATTTTATCTTTTTTTTCCAAAGATTTTATTTGAGAGAGAGAGAGAGAGACAGAGAGACAGAGAGAGTAAGAGAGCGTATGAGCAGTGAGGAGAGGGAGAGGGAGAAGCAGCCCCACCCCCCCCCAACTGAGCAGGGAGCCCTGTGTGGGGCTCAGTCCCAGGACCTGGGATCATGACCTGAGCCGAAGGTAGTCGTTTTCACCGGTGGAACCCCCCAGGCGCCCCTAGAGTCTGTCTTCTTTAGCAGTAGTTGTTAAGTAAGCATCATGGTCAGCATGACTGTCTGTGAGGGGCTTCTGGTCTCGGGAGTGCCGCAGGGGGTTCTGGGGTGCCTGCAGAGTTCCATCCTGCTCAGCCCTATGGTAATGGCTCAGGACGCAGGGTCAGAAATGTTCTTCCTGCCTTAACAGCGACCTCTTCATGGGTTGGATGGGGCAGCACTAACAATGGGAAATTTAGGCTGGACCCCTATGCAAGGTGACCGCAGTGCTCATCTGACCCCTCGTGTCCCCCACCCCCCGTGGTTCTTTGCACCCCGGGGGAGGTGCCGTGAGGCCTCCATCAAGGGAAGAGGTCCTCTGTAGTTTACTTACTGGCTTCAAACAAGACAGAGACCCAGTGGCCTGTGGTCACCTTAGATGCTAGACCTCCTCTGACACTCCCTTCCCCCAAGGGAGGCCCTTGCCCATGTGCGTTGTTAGAGGTTGCCCTGATGTTCCCATGGAGATGGGGACTGGAGGAGTGAGGGCAGAGCACCAGGGGCGTGGGCTTGGGTGGCAGCCACAGGGAGGGAGCCACGTGCCAGAACAGGGAGCTGGTGGGGTGGGTGGGGGTGACCCAGGCCTGCAGGCACAGAAAGGATGTGGGGTGGGAGATGTGGGGCCAGGTGAGCATGCGCTGGGGGTGCAGCTGTGTGGGTTACCACTGAGGCCAGTCCCGTGACGGGGGCATGGATCAGGAAGGGGGGCACTGGAGACGCCCCATGTGTGTAGGGGTGGGGACACGGGCGGAGCAGCCCTGAGAGGCACGCGGAGCAGTTCGGGACTGAGCACTGGGTAGCTGTCCTCCTTTCAGATCCTCAACTGTGTCTTCATCCTGTACTACGTGCTGGAGCTGCTTCTGAAGGTGTTCGCCCTGGGCCTGCCGGGGTACCTGTCATACTCCAGCAACCTGTTTGATGGCCTCCTCACCGTCGTCCTGCTGGTAAAGTCTAGGATAGGCCAGGTTGCGGGCCTCTCCGGGTGGGCGGTGTGCTCTCTGCGTGCTCTGTGCTGTGTCCAGTCTCAGGCTGGCCCTCGGGAGCTGAGGGCCCCAGGACCTTGGGCTCCTGCCTCCAGTGGCAGAGGGCTGGCATTCCTGTGAGCGGCTGTAGGAACCGGGTTTCCACCGTGTCTGAACGTCGGGAGGCAGTACCTCTCCCACCCCTGAGAGGGGCCTCACTGGCTCACCAGCCCCGGCCACAGAGCTCAGGACCGTGGGACCTTGTTGTGGGTGGCAGGAGAGGCAGGGGTCCAGGCACCCTTTCCCCAGAAGCTGTGGGAGTAGAGGGTCACGCGTGGTGTGTGTGTGTCAGCAGCCATGCTGGTGCTGCATTCATTCGTGTTTCTAGGAACTGTGGGCCCCTTGGGACGGGGGCCTTTGGTCTGTCCTCGACCTGGGCCCCCCGCCAGCCTTTCCGGTATCCCGCCCTCCGTATGTGCGGGCTGCTGCTTCCTGAGACCTGAGAGTCTCTCAGCTGCAGGAAGTCCCACGTTTGGAACCAACCCTTGGGGTCGAGGATAGAGCTCTGACTTCTCCCCAAATCCCCCTTTGCGGGGAACGTGTTACACACGAGCTTTATAATTCATTGGAAAGCCGCCTAGATTAGCGTTGCTGTAGCGATGCCTTCTCTTCTTTTGTAATTAAAGGTTTTGGAGATCTCAACTCTGGCTGTGTACCGATTCCCACACCCAGGCTGGTATGTGACTGCAGAGAACCGAGGGAGGCTACAGCAACCAGCGCCCTGCTAGGCCCCGGGGGGGGGGGGGGTGTGCTCTCTGCGGGCCTGCCTGCTCGGGCCATTTGACTCCCGGGCCAAGCGCCCGAGTGTTAGGAGAGCTGGCGGCTCAGAGCCTGGCCGCTGAGGACTGTGGGTGCAGACCCCTCTCGTCGCTCTTGGGGAACGTGTCCTAACTCGCTGTCAGAATGATAGCGTTCCTAGAGCCTTGACAAGTCTCTAGGGGACAGCAGCCTTGGCACCAGACCGGGGTGGGGCGGCGTGCGGCCCCCAGTGCCCTGGGGAGTGGAGATGCCCAGCTTAGGGCTGGCGGGATCCCTGAGCCCTGGAATCGGGCTGGGAGCTGTGTCACCTTGGCCTGTCACCTCCCACTCTGGTCGTCGGGTTAGCCCCCTGTAAGATGATGGGGGCCAGGGCTGCTGTGAGTCCCACCACCCCTGTTATGGCCACATAGCAGTCTAGATGTCTGGGTGCCTTGAAGTGTGGTGGCTGTGAGGTCGTGGTGCCCAGGACATAGCTGCCCGTGCAGTGTGTGTGTGCTGGCCTCACTGGCCTTGGGCCTCTTGGCAGCTCTGGTATCTTGGTATCTCTTTGGGCCGCCTCTGTCTTAGTGGAGCAGCTAGAAGGTGCTGGAGATGGGGAGTGGGGCTGAAAGACTGGCTGTTTAGGGTCAGCTGCTGCAGAGCCAGCCAGGAAGGTTTTATGTCAGGCAGACAGTTGGGCTGGTGCTGTCCTTGGCGGGTCCCTTGTGGCCTGGTGGGAGCCCCGGCCTCAGGAGCAGTGGTCCCCTGTGCTGGGCAGCTAGCTGTAGGGCTGGCTTGTCGGTAAAGCTCACTGAAAGCCCACCGTGTACTTTTGTCTGACAATCACAAGGGGAGTGTCCTGTGTGCGAGTGGGTTTCAATTTAAATAGGAATGAGAGCCCAGTAAGCCCCTGAGAAATACCAAGAGGGGCCGGGACATAGAATGGGACCACAGGACAGGGGATGGGGTCAGGAGCCAGGGTCAGCCGACAGGGATCTCACATGAGGTCAGAAAAAGGGGTGAAATAGGGCTGGGGTCAGGGGACTGGCTTGGGGAGCAGGTATCTTCTACTTCTGTTGGGACCTGAGCTGGGTGTTCCGGCATCTGGAACCTGAGTGGCCTCCTGTGTAAGGTGGGGGGTATGATAGCCGAGGTGCCACCATGAGGGGCTGTGCCCTGGCCAGTGCTGTCCTGGGCTGCCAGGGATGTACCATCCAGACTTTGTCCTGTACCTGAAACGGAGCACCCCCCCCACCCCCCGCCTCGCTCTCTGCATCTCTGTGTCTTCCTGTTGCTGGCATGTTGAGGCTCTCCCAACCAGTCTCTTGTGTGTCTCTCCAGGAAGCCAGAGATGCTGGGCCTGCTGTCGCTGTGGGACATGGCCCGGCTGGTGAACATGTTCATCGTGTTCCGGTTCCTGCGCATCATCCCCAGCATGAAGGTCCGTGGACGTCTGACCCCTGCCTCGCCTTCCCACTGTGCTCCCACTGCTCCCACTGTGACATTGCTCTAGAGAGTGGCTGAGCCTGACCAGGGAGGAACTGAGACCAGGACTGTCCCTCTGGCTACCTTGGTCCTCTGGGGATGTGTCCCCTGCCCTGCTGCTGGGTGATCTAGCCCTACATTTGTGGACGAGGAGAGAGAGGACCAGGGCTGGAGCTCTTGGAACCACCTTGTTCCCAGGTGTCCTGAGGTTCCCCGAAGGCCATTGGCATAAGCTCTTCATAGCTTCTAGTAATGAGGGGCAGAGGTGGGCTTGGCCAGGGCCCTCTACCCCAGGCCCCCCAGTGGGAGTGGGGCATATGGTTGGCTGGGGTGTGCATCTCCAGGACACCCAGTGCAGGAACCCAGTGGCTTGTGATCATCTGCGAGCCTCAGTTTCTCTCCCTATACCCGTAGGGAGTGACACCAGGCTTGAGGGGAGGGGGCCGGGTAAGCAGGGTATTTAGGCCAAGTGCCCACTCAGCACAGAGGTAGAGTTATCTCCTCCTGTTTGTTTGCTTAAGAATTTTCCAGAAGAAAAGAAACCCAAGGACATGAGACCCCTTCTTATTTGTCCAAGTCCCTCCCCTGTGCTTATCTGTCCTTTCGTGTGCCTGTGCTGCCCGGGGCTACCTGTCACCTAGCAGAATTTCCCATGTGAAGGTGGCCTGGGGACCCTGGGTGCAGATGGGATGCTGTACCAGGGACTTTGTGCATGCCACATACATGCATGTGATCACACACATGCACACATATACCCACATGCATGCATATGCCCTTACATAGCCACACACGTGATCATGCATATGCACACACCTACACATACACATGTGATCATACATGTACACACGTGTGTACAAGTCATATATATGCATATGATCACAATGTACTCTTACATGTGGTAAACACATGAGCACATAAGCTATACACGTTCACATGCATGTGACCACACATGCATACACATGGCCATATATATGCATGTGATCACACGTGTGATCATAACCGGACATAAACACACCTAAATCACATATTCACATAGTCATAAGTACATGTAACCCCAACACAGCCATGCATGTCACACAGCCATGCATGTAACCACACAATATAATCATCCACTGGTAACACGTGTACACACTTAATCACATGCATACATATGACAAACGTACATGATCCAGAAGTACAATCTCACATGTACACACAGCATGTGACTATACTATATACGTGCTGTACCATGCATGCACATGTGCTATATCCGCGCATAACTGTACCCACACACAGTTACACGTACACATGCAAGCGTGCCTGTATGCTTGCACATAGTAACGTGCATACACACGTGCATCGTGGTGTCTCTCTGTCAGCATCTAGCATTATGATCTAACATCAGGTGGGGTAAACAGGCTAATTGGAAAGCTCAGGTTTACATGTCAGGGGAGCAGCCCTCTGGAGTTGGGGTGCCTGGGTGGGTCTCTCAGGTTCCCTTTCTCAGACCTGATCACTAGGGCTGACCTGGATACCTCAGGCCTGTGCTGCTTTGGAGCCTCCAGACCAGAGAGGAGCTAACGCAGCCTTAGTGGGTCACTGGGCAGTGTGATCTGAGCTCCTGTAAACTGTGGCTTCACCAAACGGCCTTAGAATTGAGACACATCTGGTGTGTGGGGTGTGCATGAGTGTGTATGGGTACGTGTCTCTGCATGTGACTGGGTGGGTGGATGGGGATGTATGAGTGTGTGCGTTCCATGTGCATATGATCATGTGTGGGTGTTTATGGGTGGCTGTGGGGTGTGTGGGTTGGTAGTTCGCTGGTCTTGCCCTGGTCAGGGTCAGGGCAGCGGGCAGGGTTGGTGTTTCCTTGGTGGGACCAGGAAGAGTAGGGCCATGCTTTCCTTCTGTCCTCAGCTAATGGCTGTGGTGGCCAGTACCATCCTGGACCTGATCAAAAACATGCGGGCTTTTGGCGGGATCCTGGTGGTGAGTCTGGGTGACAGGCTCTGGCTGTCGGGGTGGGGCGTGGAGCTGGCTTTCGATTCCGGGGAGTCTGGGCTCTGTGGGAGGCTGCAGCTCCCAGTGGGTGATTATATAGTGAGCTCGTGGCTGGCTGGTTGCTCTGGAGGAAGGAGGGCACTGTGTTGGGGTGGCTCTCGTGTTGTGTAGGCCCGGGAGGCCGGAGTGCCCCCTGCCGTTCCCGAGAGCCGACCTCTGGGCTGGTCTGTAGGAAGCACTGCCCAACCACACTCTCGTTCTTTGCCAGATATCCTGTTGGTCACTTTTGAGTCCCTCCATTTTTTGGATCACGGGTCGTAATGTGACACTGACTTTAAAAAGTGTGAGGGGTACTAGGGGGCCCTGAAGCCCACACAGACCCAGATGGGGCTTTGGTCAACCCGCCTTGCCCTGAGCCATTGCAAGACCTCCTGCTGTGTTGGCTGAGAGAGAGCCATGACGTCCCCTGTCTCCAGAGCCAGGCTTGACCTGAGGTGCTGTTGGCTCTGCTCACAGCCCAGCCCAGGTGAGTCCCTGGTGCTGCTCTAGGCTCGAAGCCCGGCAGAAGAAACGGATGCCCAGAAGGGACTGGCTTTGCCAGGACATGTGCCCCTTCCTCTTCCCCTGGCATGTTGGGGATAGGTGGGGACAGGTCAGAGGCCATTGGTAACCTCTCCTCTCTGTGACATGAGGCTGCTGGGTGGTGCTCCTTGGGCATCACCTCCTGAGGAAGCCTACCTGCCCCTCCCCTGGGACCTCTTACCCTAAGACTGCACAGGGGTCCTTCTCCCCCCTCTTCCTGCCATACCTGTCCTGGAGAAGGATGGATAGCCTCGCTTCCTTGGCTGCCTTGGTCTTTCCCCTTGGGTTCCAGTTGATCTCTGTGGCTCCCCTGGTGGTGGCAGCTCCTCCCTCCCTTCCCTCTGGGGGAGGTTGGTGGCCAAGACGGGGTACTTGGGAGAAGCCCCAGTGTTCCCTGCGGGAGACCAGCAGTGCCTGTAACTGGGAATAGTGTTGAGGGCTGGGAACCTGCTCGCTCTGTGGGTCCGTCTACCATGGCGCTGAGCAGCCCCGGTGCTGCCTCCCTAGGTAGTGTACTATGTCTTCGCCATCATGGGCATCAACCTGTTCCGTGGTGTTGTCGTGGCTCCCCCTGGAAATGGCAGGTGAGGTGGGGCCCGAACATGCCAACGGAGTGTCTCTAGGGGTGCAGAGGAGCATGAACCTGGGTGGAGCTCTGGGATGGGGCTCCTAGTCCCTCCTCTGCCTCCCCTCCCCACCCTGCCAGGTGCCTTCACCTAGAGTCTGTACCAAGAGTTTCTGAAGCCTACTCGGCACTGCAGCCCCCACCCCTCTGCCCCTTGGGGACCCTCAGGCCAGGCCCACACAGCCAGACCTGGATGGAGGCTCCATTTCACAGGCGTGTCTGTGCCCCTAGCATCCTTCACAGCACCCCCAGAGATTGGGGGCCCTGGCTTCTCCCTCTGACTTCTCAGGGCCCACACACAAGGGTTCTGGCTGTGCAGGGGCGGGGGCAGTGCTGGGGCGCCCGGGCGTATGTGTCCTGGTCCCTACCTTGACCCGGCTTGTCCTGTCCCACAGTCTGGCCCCTGACAACAGCTCAGCACCCTGCGGAAGCTTCGAGCAGCTGGAGTATTGGGCCAACAACTTTGATGACTTTGCGGTGAGCCTGGTGCCCCCTGCTCCTTGAGACCCTTGCCTTCCCGTCGCCCTCCCCCTGCCCCCCCTGGACCCTGCATCTGCCGCCCCTCAGGCCGCCTTGATCACTCTGTGGAACGTGATGGTGGTGAACAACTGGCAGGTGTTCCTGGATGCCTATCGGCGCTACTCGGGCCCGTGAGTGACCCCGGCTGGGAGGTCCTCCACCATCACGGTGCAGGTTGCATGTCCTGTGTCCCCGCCGGTGACCTGGGTTTTGCCTCTTTTGGGGACTGCTGGGAGGTGGGTTCTAGAGAATTCCACTGCACTGGGAGCCCTGGAGGCAGGCTGGGGGAAGGAGAGCCTGGAGCTTGGGGAGCTCAGCCCCGGCCCAACAGATGGTCCTGGGTTCAAATCCCAGCGGCACCTCTCAATGGCCATGCTACCTTAGCCACTCATTGACCACTTCTAAAAGCCTCTGTCTGGGCATCTTGAAAATGGGAGTGGGAGCATCACAGAGTTACCGGCTGGACTCGCAGTCCCTGGTGCTCCAGCTCACACCGCCCCCCGAAACCACAGGTGGCCTTCTTGCCTCCACAGGTGGTCGAAGATCTACTTTGTGTTGTGGTGGCTGGTGTCATCTGTCATCTGGGTCAACCTGTTTTTGGCTCTGATTCTGGAGGTATCCCAGATCCCTTCCCAGGTGGCCTGAGGGGTGGTTTCTGAAGGGCTGATGGTGGCATGAGGCTGCTGGCTGGGCCCACCTGGACTGGGGTGGGACGGGCTGTGCTGGGTTCCATCAGGTGCTCAGTTCAGGCTGGCTCCTGCCCTGGGGCTTGGCGAGGCTCACCCTGGCTGCTGGGAGCCTCTTTGAATGCCTGTGACATTGGACCTGGGAGGGGGTGTTTCTCAGCCTCTGGGGGTGGGGATTGGGGCAGGGCTGTGGGTGCTGGGGCAGGGCTATCAGGCATCTGGTTCCTGCAGGAGTGGGCTCTGGATCCCAGTGTCCGGGTCGGGCTCAGCTCTCCCTATGGTGGATGCCTGGCCGACCCTGGAGGGGAAAAGGCTGGTTCCTGTGGGATTCACACACTGGCCCCCTTTTCTCCTGTTTCCCAGCATTTTCTTCATAAGTGGGACCGCCGTACTCACCTGCAGTCTCTTGCCGGGGACCAGGAGACCAGCTATCAGATGAGCGTGGAGCTTCTATTTAGGTGCATGATTGAGGAGGGGCTTCTGCTTGGCCTCTGCAGGGAAGGAGGGTGAGGCAGGGAGGGGTGGGTGGGCGAGCATCCTCTGTGACCCTGATGCTGTCTACGAGCTGCAGGCATCTTGCTGCCCTTCTGCAGCCCTGAGCTGGGGTCAGGGTCTGGGCTTCCTGTGCCCTGCTGCTGGGGGTGTGCACTCTGTCCTGCTCTCTGATGAGCACCTTGAAGGCAGTGTTCTCACGTGCCGTTAGTCTCCAAGGGATTCTGCTGGTGGGTGTAGGCGGGGGGCCCTCGCTTCCCCAAGGTGACCTTGAAGTCCGATCTTTGCTAGTGAGGAAAGTGCTCCCTCTGCAAGCATGCGCTGTGTTGTAGCGGCCCCTCTGCACTGCCCCACGGGCCAGCGTGCAGGGGCGTCTTCCCGGGCTTTTAGGGAGGCCGTGCACACATTGCGGAGATGCTTCTAAGCCCCCGTGTTCACTAGTGCACATGCCTGGTGATTGCTTTGTGGGAAGCAAGACTGCATGCCATCCCAGAGGTCCCCAAGTCTGGAGCTCCCTGGACATCTCCCCAATCCCGCAGGGACGTCCTGGAGGAGCCAACGGAGGAGGAGCTGGTGGAGAAGCTGAGCCACCATCCGCACCTGCAGCTGTGCAGGTGACATCCAGGTGCGCCGTCCTGGCAAGGGTGGCAGATGGCGATGTGGCCTCAGGAGATGCCAGTTGTGGGAGGTGGCTGGCTATAGCCCAGGAGAGACTTACCCTCAAACAGACGGACAACGATGGGAGCTACTCCACCCGCCTGAGGCTGGGGTAGACGTGCAGGCCCTGGTTTGCTGCCATTGAGCAGAACCACTACTCACCACCAGTTTTTCTTTGCAGCCCCTCGGAATGGGGCGCCTGTGCTTTGGGTGGCCTCTGCACCATGCTGCTCTCTTATAAGCTGCTTTGGTGGGACTTTGACTTTTCTAAATGCAGAAGAGAGTGACTCCGCAGGGACCTTTCAGACCGTCTGGGAAGCTGGAAGCAGCGGCCTTCCTTTCGGGCCCTGCCATTTCTATGGTGCCTTCACTGCTGGTGGCCTTCAGGGACCAAAGCTGCCTGCCCCCCCCCCCCCCCGGGGACCTACATAGGCCAACTGGCAGCTTTCCAGGGCATTAAGTTGGGGATCCTGGTGGTTTTACGTAAGGAGAATCTTAACTATTTTGTTATTTTATGGCTCATATGAGTGTGATTGGGTGTATGTCTTCATGGTCAGAATGCCAATAATTTTTATCCTGAAGTCTTGGAAAGAATGAGGTCGTTGTTCTTATTGGGACACAACTCCAATCCTGCTTCTCTCTGGAACAGGGTGGCCAGGTAAGGTTGTTTAGGTTGTGCGCTGCAAACCTGGTTGCAAGGGTGTGTCCAGCCTTTGGTACGTCTCCAGGGTGAAGGATACTTTTTTCTAATTTGCACCAAAGCACGTGTGAGTCAGTGGTGGCTCTCCCTATAGGTCCATAGGGTGTGTGGCAGAGGAGGCTAGTAGGTCAGGGAGGAGGGAAAGCAAATAATGTGTGAGAGGCCACATTGGTGCTCGAGCTACCATGGGTCCAGATTAACAAATGGTTGTCTCTTTATAAGGGCTGACTTGAGTGATGGGTGGGAGCTCCTGGAGGTCCCTGTTGAGGATTGGGATCCTCATGGGAGTAACTCTGGGATTGATTAGTGATGTCTGCTCTGGGCCCTCATGGGGGTGGGGGGTGGTGGTCACGAAAGCACAGGCGCTGACTCCAGTGGGGGGAGAAGTCATCTCTGTCTTCCAGCTTCTCAGGGAGTGGAATTGGAGGAAAGTGACCAGAAAAAGGCACCCCGGGGCTCGGTTGTGTCACGTACACATTGCACTTTCAGACTCTGGAGTTCGGATCCTGGGTGTTGATGTGCTACCCCTTGGGTCTGGGGGATCCTTGGGCATAGTGCGGCCACTCTCAGACCTGTCCCCTCTGCATGCTGCCTTCTGGGAAGGCTGGTTGGGTGGGGAGCACCTCATAGAGCAGCGACGTAGCAGCTTGCATGCCCTGGGGACAAGGGTGAGGGCCTGGCAGCTGTGTGCACTCTACTGCCAGCCCCTCATCCCCTACCCCCAAGGTCTGAGCGCCATCTGGTGGCAGGGTCAGATTCACTTTTAGTGCAGGCTGGACCCCCTGACCCCCAGGGCTGGCTCATTGCTTTTCCCAGGCCAACTGGGGCCATGGAGCGTGGCCTCTCGGCCTGGGCTGCAGGCTTGTCCACCTGGAACAAGCAGTTGCAGTGGGTGCTCGCCAGATAGGATGTCACGCTCCCTGCCCTGCCTTGTGCAGGGCCCAGCTCTGACTGAAGGTTTTCTGCCTTCTGTTTCATGGCTTGTGTGCAGAGGAGCCCCCTCTGGTGATTACTGTCACGTGGCACAGAGTTCTGGAGGACCCACATTGCACTCTGGGAGACTGTGCTGTTCAGAAGCTGGCTCTGCCCTTGGGATGGGGTAACCGAAGCTGGTGCCCTTGTGCTGGTGTCTTCTGACCACAAGCTGGTGTCTCTTGGATACTCGGGGTGGGGAGGGGGCACTGACTGTCCCCTTCCATCAGTTTCAAATGGTATCAGCTTCCAAGCCTTTGTCCCCTTGAGAACCAGGGCTGAATTCATGGTTGAGCTGGAGCTGAGCTTTTGGTTAAGGAGAGCGGGTCGGGTGGGGGGCGTCTGGCCTGCAGCTCCCACCTGGGTGCTGCACTGAGAGAGAACGTGCACTCACCTCTCAGACAAACCCTTGCAGCTCTGGTCGGGGCTCGTGTTTTCTGTGGCTGCGGTGGCTCCCTCAGCATTCTGGCTGGCTTCAGGTGCAGGGGGCTTAGCCCTGCTGGACTCTGGAGTCACCCAGGGCCAGGCAGGAGTCTGGGACACCTGGAGTGGCATCACTGCCCCAGGGGAGTGGGGAGGAGGTGGGAGCAGGAGGCTGCTGTGCTCGGAGGAGCCCTGTGGTTTGGGGCAGGCTCCAAGGAGGGGCCTGTTTGTCCACAGGCTGGGGGGCCCTGGCCTGCTGTCAGCAAGGAGCTGAATGGAGGCAGGTGGTCTGGTGGAGGGGGGAGGCCCAGGGAGTGAAGGGAAGGGTCTGGAGTGCCCATTGGGGCAGGCCTGGAGGAGGGCAGGGTGGTGTGGGTGCCTGTGGGTGACGGTGGGCTCAGAGCTGCACACACCCAACAGCAGGACCTTGGGTCCTGGTCATTGATGGCCCTGGGGTCGGGTTTGGGGGCAAGGCAGGTGCGTGGGTGGGCAGCAAAGCCCCAGCCTGCCTGGGAGGCCTGAATGCTGCCCAGCTGGCACTTGCAACCTCCACATTGAAGGGTTCTCACCTCCCTTCCTGCCCAGCTCAGGGCCACCAGCTGCCCTGGGCCTCTGCAGGTGAGCTCCTCAGGGGTCTTGGTGCCACCTGCCTGCCTCCACTGACCAGGAAGGGCTGCAAAGGGGCCACTTCCTCTCCCCTTGAGGATCCGCATGGAGGCTTTTGCCCCCACCCCCTGCCCCTGGGGAGCCCCTGGAAGATTCTGAGGGGAAGATTCTGGAGCCCCTGCCATTTCTGAGGCTGAGGAGCACAGAGGTCACGAGTTTGCTCATGTTTAACATGGAAGCAGCCTCAGACTTAGAGAAAAGTTGCAAGTAGAACTTTCTTCTGGAATCACTGGGGCGGGGGGGAGGTTGTGGTTCCAATGCCCTTCACACTCCGTGCTTAGGAAGGGCTTCCAGCAGACAGGCACATGGGAGTGGGGTCACCCCAGTTCCTGCTGGCTGGCACTCCCTCCACTCATGGCCATTCTGAGCCTCCAGTTAGGTCCCTCAGGCCTCAGGTCCCTCAGGCCCCAGGGTCGCCTGTAATCTTCCCGGACAGGTGACCTCGGCACTTGAAGGTCAGCCAGTGATTGTGTAGGAAGGTCCCCAGGTTGGGTTCATGCGAGGTGTCCTTGTGAGCTTGTTTCTCTGGTTTTTGTAGGAATATCACAGAAGTGCATCCTGGCAGGTGGCATGAGTTTCAGTTTGCTCCATGGCTGGTGCCCACCATGACACTTGGTGTCAGCAGTGGTGGCTGGGCTGCCTGGCATAAAGTTACTCCTCCTCCCTTTGTGATGAACAGGGTGCCCCGAAGCTATGTGAGCATCCACCTCACCAAATTTCCTTTAGTTTCTCCTCTCTCCTGTGCTCATCTGTGCACACTGTGCTTTCTTCCATTCAGTGGGCTACATGCAGTCTGTTGCTGTATTTTATTTCATGCTCAAATTCTCCTTTGGCCAGTGGGAACTGCTTCATCTAGTTTTTGCGTCCATTTGCTAGGACCTGTCATCTTTTGAATGCTTCTTTGCTTTCTGGCAGGAAAAGATGTTCTGGGCTCATGTTGTGCCTTCTCTGCCCCAGCCCTGGACGCTGTTCCTTTAAGCAAGAATAGCATCCAGGAACCAAGATGTAGGTGTGAGGTGTGCCTACTGCATGGGTATTGCTGTGCCCAGGTTCTCTTGGTAGATAGAACTAGGGTATATATACATGCATCTGCCTATGTGACTGTCCATCTGTCCATCCATTGGTCCTTCATCCGTCTATCCATTGATCTGTCAATCCATCTATCCATCCATATGTCGGTCATCCATCCAGCCATCCATCCAGCCATCTGCTGGTCCATCTGTCCGTCCATCCATCTGTTGGTTCATCCATCCATCCGTCTGTCTCTCTCTGTTGGTCCATCTCTCCATATGTCCATCTGTCCATCTGCTGGTCCCTCCATCCAAATGTCCATCTGTCCATTGGTCATCCATCCATCCATTAGTCCATCTGCCCATCTATCCATTCATTCACCCATCTGTTGGCCCATCCATCCATCTATCCATTGGTCCATCCATCCATCCATCCATCCATCCATCCATCCATCCATCCAATCTATTGACAACTATGAGATCATGCTGATACTCCATTTTCAGACCAACGCCACAGGGCACATCTGGTTTTCTCTCTCTGTGGTTGCTAACCCTTTTTTTCCCTGAATGGTTCGCATTTTCCTTCATCTGTGCACTCACTTGCTTATTTCTCTTGTAAATTCTCATCTGCCACTGCCACCTCCTCCCCACAGAGATGCCCTCCTCACCCCATGTGGGCGCCCTTTGGATGCCCTCCAACCACAAACCTCTAGGAAAGAGCTTTCCAGATGGAGAGATGGTATTGTCAGGCCCTTTAAAATTAGGAGTAACAAAATTAGAACCTGGCCAGCTCGTTAAAATCAAATAAATATGTAAAAAGTGTAAACATTAGAAAAAATATATCTCTTTATTCATAAATAACATGATTGTCCATATAGAAAGGCTACAATCATTGAACAGTAAGAATTTGGCAAAATGGTTTGCTGTGAGATTGATACACTGAAATAAATTGTTTTTATAGAACATTAGCAACAAACTCATAAATTTCTTTTTAAAAGATACTGAAAAAAGTATTTATGTGAGAGTAAAACCTTCAGGGTCTTAAAGTTAACATTGAACAAGTGATGTTCAAGGTCTTTATACAGAAAACTATAAAATGTCATTAAAATCCAGGACTGTGGGCTTGAGGGGAGAATGCTGAATACCCAGTTACCACATGGCAGCCTCAGACACTCGGCGCTTACCTGCTCTTGGCTCTGCAGGCCGCACTTCGCTGGGTCCTCTTCACGGCTGGCCTCTGGCTGGGCTCCTGGGTTCTCCGGGAGACCCATTCTGGTTGTCAGCCGAATTTGGTTTCCAACGTGAAAAGGCTGGGGCTGTAGGTGATAGCACTTGACCTGACCCCATTTCCTTGTTGGCTGTCCGCAAAGGGCTGCTCCTAGGACCTGGAAGCTGCTGCGTTCCCTGCTACAGGGCCCCCAGCCCTCAGAGTTAGCAACGGAGAACCTGCTGTGAATCTAATCCCTCACCCTTTGTGCCTCTGCTGCAGGAAGAGCCCTGACCCTTTATGGGTTCGCCTGATTAGGTCAGGCCCACCAGGATACCCTCCCTTTCTTGAAGTCAGCTGTGTCATAGTTCAGCACCCAACCCCAGGAGTGACTGTGGCATCATAGTCACGGGTCTGCCCAAGCCTGGTGGGAGGGCCATATACAGTGGTGAGGGTCACTGGGCGGCAGCTCAGAATTCTACCACAGTTGTCCTGTTCGTGGCCAGAAAGTTGGTATTATCAATAGGTCCATTGTCCCCTGACTAATCCATAGATTTGTTAAAGTTCTAAACATAATCTTGGGATCCCTGGGTGGCGCAGCGGTTTGGCGCCTGCCTTTGGCCTGGGGCGCGATCCTGGAGACCCGGGATCGAATCCCACATCGGGCTCCCGGTGCATGGAGCCTACTTCTCCCTCTGCCTATGTCTCTGCGCCTCTCTCTCTCTCTGTGACTATCATAAATAAATTAAAAAAAAAAAGATTCTTAAAAAAAAATAAAAATAAACATAATCTTATTTTTTTCATTAAGGTTTGATAAGCTGATTGAAAAATTTACATGAAACTTACATGCAAAAATAGAGAAGCGTATGGTTGAGGATCTCGGTTTGCCAGTGTTCCGGACTCACTGTGAGGCTCTGGTGACCAGGACAGTCTGGTGCAGGGGCGAATGGAGGGATGGAGTGAAGAGCCCAGAACTGCCGGCGGCGAGGGGCTGGGGCAGCTGGGAGGCCCTGTGCACCACGGGGGGCCAGAGTGGCCTCGGTGGGCGTCTCTGTGGGCTCTTCCCAGGGCCAGCAGGTGCACAGCGCGGTGGCTGTGGCAGAGCAGGCAGGATGGGGCCCCGGACCTGGACCTAGGCCTGATCTGTTGCCGGGACCTGAGAGTGGGGTCTCAGCAAGCGGTTTGGGGCCTTTCATGTGGTCTCCTCCGCTCAGCACAGCAGGGAGGAATCTTGTCTTTCACCAAAACAGCCAGGTTTCGGTTTTCTGCCCTAGAGATAATTGGTGGTTCTTATTAAAAGGTTAGCACAATGCATTGTTTTTTTTTTTTTTAAAGTGGAAGGTAGGCACACCGCACTGCTCTTAAAAATTTAAGAAGGGGGCGTGCGGCTCGACAATGGCCTTCACATCAAAGTGGCCAGCAGACGCCATGGGCAGTGTGCGGGCAGCCCACCCCAGCCCACTGATCGCACGGGGGGCCCTGGCCATTCTGGTAAGACAATCAGAGCCGCCCCAGGGTGGTGAGCCCACACCTGCAGGGACCTGGGCGGCATGGGTGCTGCCCCGGGTTTGACAGCAGTTGGCTAATCCGTGTCTGGGCCCCGGCAACACCTGTCGCCAGGTGAGCCAGACCTGCCTGTCCCGCCTCCCTGGCCTACACTTTTTCTTCTCAGCTAATGGGCAGGGCAGGTGGACGGGGGCCACTAACACGAGACTGTGGTAGAGGAGAGCATCCCGTGGCCGGAGGCGGTGGGCCAGCAGCTCTCAGAATCCCCGGAGGAGGCTTCCTCAGACAGATCCCCGGGCTGCCCCATGCCAGGCGGTCTGGTTGGGGTGATCTGGGGGTTGGGGGAAGCTAGGCGCCTGCATTTGTAATCCGTTCTGAGGGGATGCAGCTGTAGATCCAGAGACCAGGGTTGGAGAACAGCTGGCTCAGTCAGTTATCTTTCCTCCCTCCTTGTTTGCTTTCTTCCAAATCGTCGTTGCTGTGGATGGATTGTAAAACAGTCCTTCGAGGGAGCAGTTACAGATGGGATCCCTTTCTGAGTGGTCCCCTCTGGGCAGAGGAGTCGGGAAAGGTGCTGGCTTCTCAGCACTGCAGCTGCCACCCTGGTCTCTCCAGGTGGATGGAGTCTGGGCCTCTTGTCCTCCCGGCTGTCCCAATCCCTTTTCTGTTGCCTGGGTTCTGGGTCTGTGCACAAACCACACAACTGGACACAGAGAAGCTGGCTGGACCCTGAGCAAGATGAGAGCTCTGCCCAGGCTTGGGGGAGTGGGTGCCATGGGCAGGGACACCAACAAGGGCCCCTGGTCCTGCCCCAGGGGGTCCAGCCGCCCTCCCCCAGCTCCATAAGCCGATGCTCTCTGGGGAGATCTGGAGCTATCACGGCCATTCTGTGCTGGGAAGAACAAGGGTCTTACCTCAGACACTGGCGTTCCCTCTAGAAGCAGGCACTGTGGACTGTGCTCTGCCAGGCAAGGAGGTAAAGTGGGATGAAGACAGAAGAAGCCGGGGCTGGGAGCAGGAGGAAGAGACTGCGAATACCCTCGGGAGGACCCACCACTGCTGCAGGCTAGTGTGGAGCTCCCTGGCAGCCTTAGAGAAAAAGGGAACAGGTGCTTGCTGGAGGAGGCAGTGGGCTGCTGGTTGGTGGGAGGCCTGCTGGGTGGGGCTGGGACCTGCTCCCTGGAAGTGAGCTGCCACCCACGGCGTCGGTTTTGTCATCGTGTTTCCAGGTCTCGTGGTAGGGGCCCCGGGAGGCAAAGGATGTGCCAGCAGCAGGCACGTGGAGGGATTCTTGAGAGTCCAGGGGAGCAGCAAGGATTGATAATTAGAGCCACAATTTGAAGCCTCGCTCCCCATGTGCTTTTCTGAGCACTTCACAAAGTGGGATGTTGACTTGTTTAATCCTGTTTAATCGCGGGCTGGGGCAGCTCTGATAGATGGGGAAACAGGCGCAGAGGGGCTGAGGCCACTTGGCCGCTGACAGCATTGCCTCCTCCTGGCCCAGCGTCTTCTCTGTGTCCTTCCTCATTCCCCGGCACATCAGCCTGGGGACGTGAGCGCCGCATGCCTGAGATAAATATTTGTAGAGCCAGCACCGCTGCGTCAGATGTCAGACGTAACTTGCGAGACTGTTCTTCCCTGCACATGGGAGGGTCCCCACAGTCCCCATGGGACGTGGGAGGTGACAGACGTGACCAGAGGTGCTTCAGGGGCAGGCTGGGCTCCTCGTGACTTTGTCCCCTCTTGGCCACTACAAAAGAGGCTCCGGGCACCCAGGCTGGGCCCCACCGGCTGCACGCCGTGACCTTGACAGGCAGCCAGCCTTCCTGCTCCCTTGATCGGAAAGGAGGTGGGTGGCCGGAATAATGATGGGGCGGGGGGCTGATGTGCTGACCCCGGTGTATTTTCAAACTTCAGACCTGGGGTTCAATCTCGGAGAACCACATAGGTGAGGAAACTGAGCCCCGGGATTTTTTTTTTCCTCTGGGAGCCTGTGCTGACGGGCGGCAAGGTGATGTGTGAGCCCAAGGCTGTCATGAAGGCGGGGTCCCTCAGCCCTGCGATGCTCAGCGCCAGGCTGGACGGAAGCCCTGTTTTTTATACGATGCGCGGACATGCAGCTTGCTCGGCGCACGCCCCTGTGGGCAGTTCAGGCTCCCCGGTTTCGGCGGGCGCCCCGGTTCACAACAGGAAAGCAAAATCTGTCCCGTTAGTCGGTCTGCAAGTCCTCACCTGTGTCCCACTCCTCGAGTGTGGGGAAGGAAGGAAGATGTGTGAGGGCAATCCCGGGCCTTCTGGGCAAGGTGGCCGATGGCTCAGGGCTCACCCGTGGCGGCCCCTGGTGACCTGCAGAGCAGAGCTGAGTGGGGAGGGAGGAGGTGGGCGGTCACCGCACAACGGGGTGGTGGGGACTGTGGCCCTCGTCCATAGACGCCCTGTGGGGCCCTGGCAGCCACCCAGAGGAGAGGAGACTTGGGCCAAAAGGTGCGTTTTCCTGGGAGGACAAAGATGGCACATGTTCAGAGCTGGCTCGGGTTCTCTCTGGGTTTGTTGGCCACTCCTCTGCTCTGTCTCCTCTGACAGGTGCTGGGCCTGTCCTCAGGTGTGATCCTTGCTGCTGGAGACCCTTCGGACAGGTCTCCGAACAGCTCCATCCAAGTGTCCCCCCCCCCCACACACACACACCTTGCTCCATGTGACCTGCATCCGATCCCAAGGAGCTTCAGGTGTTCTTGCCCCATGACTGGAGGCTGGGGTTGCTGTCCTGCTGCCCTGGCATTGGCCCACTGTCCCTGTCGTGGGGTGCACCCATCAGCCCTCAAGGTGACCCTGAGCCCGGCACAGCATGTGGTGTTGGCAGTTGGGGGGAGGGTGGCATAGTGGTGAAAGCCCCCTCTTCCCCCCTCTGGGCACTTTTGGTCTCCTGGGAATGAGAGGGCTTCAGGGTCAGGGAGCCGGTTTTTATCCATTTCCCTTGTCACTTCTGCTCATGTTGGAAGGGCTCTACCTTGGGATGTCACACCTCTTGTGTTCTGGTGGAAGGTCATTTAGAGCAGCCTGCTGCGGTGTGTTTGCAGAGAAGCAAACCCAGAAGTGCTTGAACCTGTTGTTGATCTTTCCTCCCAATGGCGCCAACATGGGTGGCTTGTCCCTTTGATTGTGTTGCAATATTTCGGACTATTTTGCGCTGAACTCTTACACTGGGGGAGATGTTTAAGGGAAGACCAGGACGCCTACCACGTGCCCCCATGCCCTGGCAGGAGGCGGATTGTGGGAACCATAGGCTTTAAAATAAGCTGGAAAGTTCTTGATTGGCCAGGTGGTTGATATCTGTAGCCCTGGTGGTGCCAGGGGCCCTTAGGCATTGGCCAGACCTGTGGCCCCTTCTTAGAAAAATGTCTGTAAGCTGTAACCCAAAATATGTGGAAGTACAAGGAAAATCATTATATTGAAAACCTGCTCACAAAGTATGAACAAATCCAAATGTGGGACAGAGGCGATCTGCCACCTGCCCCAGGTTCGAAACAGCACTCTGAGATGTTGGCGCTGGCGCTCACGTGATGGAAGGTACCTGTGGTTTCTGCTTGGGAAGGGCCGGAAGCCTCACTGACGCCTTGGTTCATGGCCTGGTCCAGGCTGTGGTTTGGTTTTCCCACCGAAGGCCCCAGGTCCCTGGAACCAGAACACTGGAGGTCCCTGTGATTTCCTGCTGGGACTCCCCCTACCTTCACCGAGTTGTGGTGACACCTGTAAGGTAACTGATTTTGGCCAAGGCTGGAGGTGCTAGCCGCCCCCCCCCCCCCCCCCCCCCCGCTGCCAGGAGGCCTCACCGGTGCTCGCATCGGAATGAACCCCCTCCCCCTCCCACCACTTTTTTTGTGGCCCCACCCATGTCCCAAGTGGCTGTGGGGCTGTGAGCACTCAAAGTTCTGGAGAGTCTCAAGCCTCCTCGATCCCAATAAATGAAGTAGATCCCAACGGACATGACACCCGATCCAACCCAAACAGACTGTAGTATGAATGGATCTGTGAGTTGAGAAGGGCCGTTTTGTGGTTTCATTTCAGTGGCTCCCAAACGTGAGCATGCATCAGATCCCCCGGAGGGCTCGTGGAACCCAGATCGCTGGGCCCCTCCTTGATGTTCCAACACTGCAAGCCTGGGGGTATGCACTCGAAGCCTGTTCCCCGGTGATGCTCTGGCTGCTGGCTAGGGGTAGGCTCTCTGAGAACCG